ACTATCAACACATTCCACAGAAGCCAGGCCCGCAAAAGTCTCTTTAAATGATCTGGAGGTCTTATTAAATCATCTCGGAGACTTCAAACGACACAGGCGAAGCGAACACCAGCCTACGTGCTTCGTCGGGTAACCAGACCAGCAGAGCCATCTGTTAGCAAACCTACGAACTATCCTTGACATTTCCGTGTGGGGAAGGTAATGTTTGGCGATAATGGCGGTCATAAAACGAGATTTATATCGGGCTAGCACGTTATTATGCAGCCGGGTGGTTCTGTGAAAACACTGGAACGCACATCCGTCCTTTGCAGACCACGGAACGGGCCATGCAGATGCCGGCTGCCGTTAGTGTTCACATTAGTGGTGGGCGAAATGGCCGCGGTTCAAGTCAGCTCGCAGCCGCGGGCGGCCGTCCAGAAATTCAGCTCACAATGCCCAGCAGCATGCCTTGCAACACTGGTTGACTCACCAGAAGGCAGCTCGTGTCCACTGACCCATGCAATCACTTATTCTGCTGAGTTACAGCACTTTGAATTCATAAAGACGCGACTTCGCGGCGATGGAATCACCTGCGCTCGTCGTAAGCTTCAGCTGACGTTCTGTAGCGTCCATCACTGGAAGGAACGCCACCAGCGCAGCGCATGGTCATCGGACTCATCCGGCAACCTCAGTCACACCTGTGCAGCTCGGCCATCGCGTCGGGTACGGCCCGGCTCTGACCCGGTACGTGCCACAGCACCATCGGGCCACGATCCAATGGTGGTCGAAGGTCTGCTGTGCGGATGCCCAGGTGTTGCGCCCCGGCATGCCTCCACTTCGGCACTGAGTCGTGGCTGATGGCTGATGTGCCGGCCTGACCTACTGCCGTAGCTGATGTCTGACCCTGATGCCTGATGCCTGACCAGGCGTATGTCATGACCCCATCCTCAAACCGGCATAACTAAGCTAAAATACGAAAGGAATTAGGACCGGCTGCAGAATCAGCTAGATCACTGGTGTACAAATTCATCCAATTAAAAGGCTGGGACTAAATCGGAAAAAGTCAGGCACGCATCATCAGGTCCGAGGAAGTCAGAGTAGAGGGTGGCAGATCATTTTTCCTACCTGGGCACCGCAGTACCGTGTCAAACTGGCAGAAGCACAGGTTACCTGTGAGTCAATGGGCTCAAGGAAAAATCCGCACGCAAACACGTGATGTTGCCATGAAATCCGCAACCTTTGTCCGGGAATGCGATGCGAAGGGTAGACGAAACGCGGCATTCGAGACCGTTACAGTTAAAATTGGGAGGTGTGAGGTGTGATATGAGGCGTGGTGTGGTGTGGAGGTGTGATGTGATGTGAGATGCGGCGTGGAGGTGTGATGTGAGGTGTGGTGTGGAGGTGTGATGTGAGGTGTGGTTTCGCAAAACCAATTGAGGAGGGGGGGGGGGGGGGAGGGGGTCACAGCCCGCGTTCAGTCAACTTGTCACACCCTAAACGCTGTTTTTTTCCAGACACTGTGCCACTTTAACCCAGGCCCGACCGGAGAGCCCGATGGTTTTTCGAGCACAGGTCAACAACGAACGTTGGCAACAACACGTGTCAGCGCTTGCTCATATAACAACTTGGCATCCTTCGTGCCAATGTGGGACTTCGATCTACCAAGACCAGTGCCCTAGGTCAGATCATAGATCAACCTCTAAAAAACTTCTAAAAAACAAAAACAAAAAAACAACGTCGAAGGGGCTATGTTTAATGTTCATATTCGAAGGTAGCTATGTGACTTTGAGTGCTGTAGATGTACATCACACAATTTCTAACCACAGAAAAAATACGACATGGTACTGGTCACATAGACCAGGTTAGCACCTACTTTTTCATACGGATGGGTTTTGACCTAACTTCATCTTGGACGACCTTCAAGTCAGCCTAAAAATAATATTTTTGCGTTTGAAATCCTTCTTAACAGGTGCACCTAACAAAATAAACTTAGAGGCACAGCGTGAAAAGTATCGCTCTTGTACGCTTCTGGTAGGTCAATTTTGAGCGGTAACATGATCTGACTTGACATTTGTGGGAAACAAAAACCATCGGTATCGACTCCATCCAGTTTAACACTTATTTCCGTGCCCTCACTGTCCGTTTTGACGTGCTAACATAGGTCTTGATCGCACTACCAGGATGACCCTTTTTGACTTCTCATGACCTCTGTTGACCTCCCATTTGACCTAAGATTCAAACTTCGGAGTGCATTCTTCATGATTTGACAAGACTCTCACAAAAGTATCCTTGTTTTTCTCATGTGGCTGGAGAATCAGGGGGGGGGGGGGGGAGAGGGGAGAGTCAACTTTCCCCCGGCCGGGCGCAGGTTAAGGTGCGGGTTGGCGACATTTAAAGGATGAACTCACATATTTGTTAACATTTGTAGTGCAACTGAACTGCCTGTATGCGCCATGCCCGCCTTGTTTCGCCAGATATGTAATTCCTTTCAGCTGTCGGATAGAATGAAGGCAGTGGCTCTCTGATCCCCACACCAGAGCAGGGAACCGTGCCTGAGAGTACGTGCATGACCTGAATGCCGAGTAACACAAACCAGTTCGCTGTAGACTGAAACTTGTGGGCTGGTAGATGAGTAGGGGGTACGAATTTTCGGCTTTCACTAAGGTCTGTGTTAACGCGTGAAATGGCGGAGGGACTTCTGCACTCGGCTCAATCCCCCATCTCTGATCAGACATCCCCCCCCCCCGTCACATCCGTTCTAGCCATGCTCTAGCTCCGCGACATGTTTAGAGTGAGCCGTGAAAATCCGTTTTTTTTTTAGAAAGTGAGGCACACAGCTTTTAAAAAGCTGCATCACACCCTAAAATACACGGGTGCCGAAACTTGAAGAAATTTGACAAGCATGGGTTTGGGACCTCGGCCCTAAATAAACCGCTGCCGCCTGCGTGCAGCGTCGCAGCCTCTCTCGCCCCCGCACTGTTTTCAATACGAGCTGAACATCGAAGGAAACACACTGCGCGTGTGAACGTTGAGGCGGTTTCATTACAATGGCCAAGAGATTGAGCAGAGTTTGACGCCGGAGTGGCAGAGGAAGGTACGCACGACTGCAACGGCAAACTAAAACCGCTCAAAGCCATGCTAAGAACCTCGAAAAAAGACATCATCCGGCGCCCATCTTGAGCAAAGATTACCGAACTAGAGCGTAAATCTCCGATGCAAGCACTTACGTTTCCCTCCGTGTTTTGCACGAGATCTTCGCTCAGTCATTTCTTCGCAGTCTGCGTTAAAGTGGCTGTCTCCCTCCAGGTTGCTCAATTGACATCCAGGGACATTGTGCCTCTCGTCGGTCTGCTGAAGACCATGCTCACCAGGATGAGGGCTAACGACGTGAACATTCAGATCAAGCCCGCGATAAGGATGACATACAGATGGGTTTCAGCGACTGCAGGAAGAGAAAGACCGGCACCCGTGGCAGGATCGGCGAGGACGGAAAAACATCAGCGGACCTGTTCACCTATCACCGGCAAAAGCTCATTACTCAATGGTCGACGTCCTGCCCATCGTGATCGACGCCTTAGTGAGCGCCTCACCAGCGACGAAGTGAAACTCGTTGCTTCGCGCGAAAATGCTTTCCTGCGAACTCCTGCTTCAAATGGAGTTCTGGATGATATCCCCAACCTACACCTGCCATCATCGTATCAAAAGCTTAAAGCGCAGCATCTGTGTTCTCAAGTTGTTAGCAATGGAGAGCAAGCGACCATGTTACGCTTCGTCGCTGGAGCAGGCGGAACGAGAGGCATCTCAAGAGATACTCGGCAAAATGAAGTAGTTTGTGAGTCTGGAACTCAATGCGCCGCCTACTGAAGCGTCGACAGAGTGGGGCTCTCAGGCGTGTGGCGGCTGAAAACGTGAGCGCGGAGCACTGTCGGGTGGGCGCGGAACACTGTCGGGTGAGCGCGGAGCACTGTCGGGTGCGCGGAACACTATCGGGTGAGCGCGGAGCAATATCGGGTGAGCGCAGAACACTATGGGGCGAGCGCGGAACACTTTCGAGTAGGCGCGGAGCACTGCCGGGTGAACGTGGAACGCTATGGGGTGGGCGCGGAACACTGTGGGGTGAGCGCGGAACGCTATGGGGTGAGCGCGGAACGCTATGGGGTGAGCGCGGAACGCTATGGGGTGAGCGCTAACACTATGGGGTGAGCGCGGAACACTATGGGGTGAGCGCGGAACGCTGTAGGGTGGGCGCGGAACGCTGTGGGGTGAGCGCGGAACGCTACGGGGTGAGCGCGGAACGCTATGGGGTGAGCGCGTAACACTATGGGGTGAGCGCGGAATACTATGGGGTGGGCGCAGAACACTGTGAGGTGAGCGCTGAACATTATCGGGTGAGCGCGAAACACTATCGGGCATACTACGCTCACCCACCTGGCACTGCTCCACGTCCACCGCGACAGGACAGCGCCCACGAGTCTGGCCAAGATGACAGCGTATCTTGTGGGACGGAAGTGAGCGCGTGACGGCGCTCGAGGGGTCATGATGACATTCACCTGCAACTCTGATGCTTCTTTTGAATAAAATTTCATGCCATGAGCCATGAACACCACTTGCCACCTCATTATTTAGCTTGGTTAAGAAAGTGTAATTGTCCACTTGTTCACGGTGTTCGTGACCTTTGCCAAAATCATTCTAGATCAAGGCCGCATGACTGATTGAATGATGTCCACGTTTAGGTCATGCAAACCCAGGATTCGAGATACCTATATCACAGGCCAAAATGGATCGTGTGTGTCATTCGTGGTTCAAAGTCACGTCACGTAATTCGCGGTTCAGTCAGCCACCCAAGTTAGGATCTAAATCACGTCACGTCAAGACCGCGAAATCGCAGCAATTGTAGCTGAGCCTTTTGAGTATCAACGTCATGAGACACGATAGCTGGAATCGTATGGTCATAGGAGGTCGAGGTCGTAACGGGCAGCTTCAAATACCTTCAAATCAAACCACACATTCAGATGGTGATGGAAAACGCATTTATTCTATGCCCTAGTCAAGTACTACAGGCGTCACACACGCCATTTCAAACGCGAACCACAGATGTCCTTGGCTAGTTCTTACAAAATCCACCGCTGGAGCAAAATGCCAGGGCACTCGGAATGTCAGCGGAATAACACTGCGCCGGTGAAACGAAAGAGCGTTTGTTCACCAACGGTGCAATCCGACCACACCGTCCGTCGAAGGCGCGCGGCTTTCTCGCACATCATAACGGAGATCGAGTATGGCGATTCAGACTGCGGAATGCACGAAACAAATTTACTTAAGCCGCCGCGAGAATCTGGGTTATCCGGCTTTAAGACAAGGAAGAACATCACATGTCTCGCTACGTGCCCTCACGACTATGACACTCGCATCGCACTGCCAGTACACGATTTTCAGTGCCCAAATCTCCACCTCCCTGTTGACATCCTCCTCCTGTACCGTGCCCGGCTAACACTAGCGGCGTACCGTAATCTTCACGCCCTCAGCACCAGACCCCCGTCTTATGGCCGGCACGCGCGCAGCTCACACCTCCGGCGCCTGCACACGACGGCAGTGACCCCAGCCCGAGGCTACAGCGTACCCTGCACCTCCTCCAGCACCTTGAAGACTCCGGTCGTCTCGCGTCGCTTGAGCTCAGCCTTCTGACCGGACCAGGCCTGCAGCATATCCGAGCGATCCAGCAGCTGGTCCAGCTCCTCCTCGCTGAACACCTGGCCGCCGGCGCGCACCACGCGCTGGTGCTGCTGCTGCCGCAGCAGCGCCAGCAGCTCCTCGGGCGTGATCGGCGCCAGGCTCGAGTTCACCTGCTCCCGGCGGCCCGACTTGAACTTGTCCGTGTGCATCACCATCTTCTCCAGCTTCCGCTTAGCGGCGGCGCGCTCCACGATGCGCTCGTCGATGGTGCCGCCGGTGACCAGCCGGTACACCACCACCGGTCGCGTCTGACCGATCCGGTGAGCACGGTCCTGCGCCTGCAGGTCCCGCTGCGGGTTCCAGTCGCTGTCGTAGATAATGACGGTGTCGGCGTCGCTAAGGTTGATGCCCAGGCCGCCGGCGCGCGTGGATATGATAAAGACGCCGAGGTCAGGGTCGGAGGAGAAGGCGTCGATGCTCTTCTGGCGCGTCGCGATCGAGTCGGCACCATCCAGCCGCGCGAACGCGTGACCACGCAGCGTCAGGAAATCAGCCAGGATGTCCAGCATTATGACGAACTGCGAGAAGATGAGGATCTTGTGGCCGGCGGCGCGCAGCCGCGTCACCATGGCGTCCAGCACCATCAGCTTGCCGCTCTTTTCCACCAGCTCGGGCACCAGCCGGTACTCCTTCGTCTCCGGATCGATAGGGTGCTCCACAAGGAACGGATGGTTCACAAGGTGGCGCATCAACATCATCATCGACCGCATCGGCAAGTGGATGCGCATATGCTTGGGCTTCTTGGAACGCGGGACACCGGCACGCGACTCCTCCAACAGTTGCAGACCGGCCTCCCAGCGCGACTCGTCCTCCAGCACGTCGGCGCCGTCCGAGAAGAGGAACTCGAAGCTGATGTCTCCCTTGCACGAGCGACGCGGCCGGCCGCGCCCGTCCAGCTCGACTGGCTCGTCCTCGTCGTCGCCGTTGCGCTCGCCGATGAGCTTGGCGATGGAGCGGTCGACCGCCGCCCGATACAGCCGCTCCTGATCGTCCACCATCGGGCAGTAGACGAGCACCTCGCGCTTGGGCGGTATCCGCAGCTCGACGTCGCGCTTGACGCGGCGCAGCAGGAACGGCGTCAGGATCTTGTGCAGCGTCGACACCACCTGCTTCTCGCGCTCCTGCTCCACGATCTTGGCGTCGTCCTCGTCCGTCGCCATGCTGCCCACGTCGAACCAGGACTCGAACACGGCCAGATCGTCGAAGATCTCGGGCAGTAGGAAGTTGAGCAGCGACCACAGCTCCGCCAGATTGTTCTGCAGAGGCGTGCCGGTCAGCAGGAGTCGGTTGACGGACGAGTAGCGGCGCAGCTCGCGCACCAGCTGGCACTCGTGGTTCTTGATGCGCTGGCCCTCGTCGATGATGAGGTAGCGCCACTGGAAGCGGCTCAACTTGCGCGAGTCGCGGATGACCATCTCGTACGTGGTCAGCACCACGGGGTGCACGGGCACGCGGCAGCCGTCCACGCGGTGGAAGCGGCCGATCTCCGCGAGCAGACGCTCGCGGTCCGGACCGTGGTACAGCACGACGGGAAGCGCCGGACAGAAGCGGCGGAACTCGGACAGCCAATTGGGCAGCGTGGAGAGCGGCGCGCTCACGAGGAATGGCCCCACGACCGACTGCTCCACCAGGTACGCGATCAGGCTGATGCACTGGATCGTCTTGCCCAGCCCCATCTCGTCGCCCAGTATGCAATTGACGCCGTTCTCGAACATCACCTTGAGCCAGTTGTAGCCCTCGAGCTGGTAGTCGCGCAGGGTGCCGCCGCTCAAGAGGCGCGGCTGGCCGCCGTCCTCCGTTGGCTCAGCGTCGGCCTGCCGCGGCGGCTCCTGCTCCTGCCCCTGCGGCTCCTCTTGCGAGCTCGGCTGCGACGAGGACGAACCGCCGTCGTCGGTACGGGCCGCTTTGCGCGGTCGCCCGCGACGAGCCGGGGCCGGCCGCTTGGTAGCCGGCTCGACCGAAACGTTCTCCTTGTTGCCGGCGCCTGCTCGGCTGGACCGACGCACGGTCTCCGGCGCACCCTCGGCCGCCGGACGCTTCCTGGAGCGCGCAGCGCTCTTCGCCAGCGTCGCGTTCAGCTTCTCGTGTTGCTCGTCGATCTTGGTGACCAAGTGGTTGACGTAGAACTGGCTGGTGTTAAGCAGACGCAGCAGCCGCTTGTAGCGCACCTCGCGTAGCTCGTGCTCATTGCGGAGCCGCACCTCGCGGCGCATGCGTTGCTCCTCGCGCTCCGTCTCGGCCCGCAGGCGCGCCTCCTCACTGACCCAGTCGGGGTCGAGCTCGTGCCCGGTCGGGCCCAGCGCCGCCTCGGCCGGCTCGGCCGGGTCACACTGCCCGGTGAGCGGCGACCCAGAGCAAGCCCCCGCAGCCTCCGCAGCGGCCGGCGAGCAGCCAGACAACGACGTCTGTGGCGGCCGCTCCTGCCAGCCATCGGCCCCCACCTGGTCCTTCACCAGGAGGCTGGGGGTCTCCCGCAACTCGCCCGGCACCGGCTCCTCCGGCTCGCACTTCGTCACGTCACCCGACTTCGCCCCCAGCCGGTGGGTGGCCAGCTCCAGTGGCTTTTCTGAAGCGGTCTGTGGCCTGACCCGCCCCTCACGCTTGCCCCGACGAGTGCTCGAACCAGGCATAATTGGCGAGTCCTGAAGAGACATGGTTACAGTAATTAGTATCACTAATAGATGCCTGATGAATCCCGGCTACCAGCCTGCCCCTCGAAAAGTGCAGAGGTCGGAGACCAGAGGTTTATTCAAATCCATAATCACTAAAGGGGATATTTTTCTACTGAGTTTGGGCAGCCTGTTGTGTTGGACCAATTACACTACAGGATGTCTGGTTTTCAACCCAGAAACTCTTCATTTGAGACTTAGTTAGCTTAGTCATTAGAGACTTTGTTAGTTAGACAAGTTAGCTGCCTTCCAGCCCTAGGCATGCATTGGACAGCTAGTTATAAAGTTGTGTTTCAATATTAATGTAGTGGCCTGAACTTCTACTGACTGAAAAGACATCATCAGCAAAATCAGGTGTCCTGGTCTTTTAGCAGGAAAACCACATAACTTTAGGCAACTTGAAATAAATGAAGAAAGAAAAAATAAAAAACAAGCCTTTTTAACAGTGTCATCAAAACAAGATTTGAAAAAACTTAAACATGATCACATTTACATGAACATTTAGCTGAAATGATGGTCAAATGATATGCATACAAATGACCAAAATGAATATAGATTAATGTATACAACCAAGACTGCAATTTTGTCAATGTGTCTTTTTGCTAGCAGGGCAGTGCCCTTTTACCTCTGTCATTAAGGCCAAATGCTAGATGTCTGACAGCAATTGTACTACCAACCTGAGTGGATAACAAATTGTTTGACAACCCCCAAGCAGACAAGGACAAAAAGTAAATGGGGACAAATGCAGCATTACCAGAAAAAACTAAGAACTGATAATGAGAATTTGTCATGGGACCAACTTTGACTTAACACACATCTTCTAAATCATTAACAACAGGACAATTATGTTGTTTGGCACAGTTAACATCACAATTTCAATTTGTACCGCAGTAAAGAAAGACAACGTTACCAAGCATGCCTTATGTAACACACAAAATCCTTGGAAGCCATATCAATAAAATGAGCAAGTAATCAAAATAAAATGAGTCTGACACCCTGGATGGTGGGTTCAGGATGCAACTGGCACAGCCTAGTGAGAGCAATTGACACTAAGAATCCACATACGCAATCCATTCAAACCACATCAAAAATGGGAACAAGAATAGATTGATATATAGATGCACAAAGGAGCTGGAGGTGAATACCAATAAAAAACTTGAAGCTTAAGCTTTCTTTTGCTGAGTTGGTGTCCTGTCAGCAGCCACTTATAAGGACTGATATTGGCTGGCATAAGTTGAACTATTTTGTGTGGCTAGCAACCATTCAAGTGCAGGTGCCCAAGTTTACAACAAAATTCAGCTTACACATGCTGCAGCTTTTAAATATGGATAAATGTGCACTCGTAACATGTCTGCCTTGAGGCTATATCATACAGGGTGAGAAAAATATGATTTTGCCAGAGAATAACCAGAGGAGGTTCCTTTGAAACAGAAGTAAAGCATCAAACAATGATATGACTTGAACAGTACATTGTCATACTCAATTGCATACTGCCCACATTTCAGTACAAACTATGTTACAGGGCTGAAACATGACCTAATATGCATGTCAAAATTGATGGACAGCTTGAGTTTCAGTCACTGTTTTCTAGGAACAGGCTGAACACTACTCTTAGAATAATGTGTTGCCAAGCATAAGCAGGTGTACCTGTCTTGGTAGTTGATTGCTCACCACCTATGATCACTGAATGATTGACATGTCATGCACCCCTGATCATTTAGGCGCCGCCAGATTATCCACCACCAGACTATCGGCTTGCAAGATGGTCTCTCTGCAGATGCTTGACCACGCACCAGAACACAGCAACCACTGCACGCATCAAACACACGTGTTCCGAGGGCCAAAAAGACGCTCCAAGTTGCCTTGTACCGCCACCATAAACTGACAACAAATTGTCAAAAAAGCGCGACAGCAATGTCCTTACCACAGAGCCGACCCACAGTTATTATAGGGCCTTGATCCGAGACCGACGCGTCCACGAAAGCTGCACTTCCAGTCCTTATCATTACATAAGGCATTCACGCGCCATCCAGCTTTATGCTCGCCACAAGTTCGCGCCAAACCTCAAGGTCGGCACGCCTCATCCATTCAACTATTGTAGAAATACTTGTCGAATCAAAGACCAATCACTGTTAAGTGTTCCCAGGAAATAAATGGAATTCACATTTTCTGAAAATAATTATTAGGCTCCAAAGATATAAGAGCTTGAGGTTTTTGTTCTCTCTTTCTTTGCAAATCAGAGCTATGAGGAAAATGCTGGCTTTTGTATTTTGCTAGAAGAGCTACTCAAATAGAATATAATCATTGAATATATTTTCTGAATTGCTCACAGAGCATGTTTTGCGGCTAGGAAAAATGTGGATCTCTAAGATTTACATACCACGTATTGTTTTTGATTCCGTTGTCACATGGCGAGACAAAACTGGCGCTGTTGCCGGCATCTGGATAAAGACGTGTAGGTGGATGTGTGTATGCGATTTATTTAATTTAAGAGTGCTGTGAACTGTCTTAAATCGAATCAGCTCAGTATTTTACATGGTACTTGACAGGGCTGTGTATTTTTTCTTGCAGTAGCTAACGTAAACCTGTGGATAGTGGCTGGCCCTAGGGTGTTAGCCATTGTATGAGTATGAAACGAGGACGTTATTGTGAAATATTGGTACATTTCGGCCTAAAGCTTCTATTGCAATGCCTTTATTTCTTCAAAAATTGTCCTTTTTTGGTCTCAAATAGGGCTACCCTCAAGTCAACCTGTTCCTCTGTGATGTCTTGTATTGGCCAGTTCAGATTGCTGCTGCTAAGCAGTAATACATCGTATCCGACCATCATGCATGAACATCTCTCTGACGGCCAAATAAGGAGGTAGAGAAGGCAGCAGTTAATCCCCAACAGGAGCCAGAATTACTGCACCTTAAAATGATACATTATGTTATTTTAGCAGGGCAGTAAGCCAGATGCTCTTGGGCAATGTGCAGCAGTGTGGGTGTGTGGTTGCAAGGTCCAGCCAGACATGGAAAGCTATACTGAGGCATTTTATCAATCACAAATACTGCTATTTTTTGCATGCCAATACTGACCACTGCTAGTGCAAATACATTTTAGGGCTTGTGCCACAATGATGTGCATGGTTAAAATCCTCTGTGCAATTTATACCAAGAATTCTTAGGCACAGCCTTAGAAGCTTACAGTTATGACCCATTGCTCAATAGCAATGGATGCACAGCAGTTGTCTAATCTGCAAATGTTCTGCTCAGCTGCCAGGTGCCAATGAATATGTGGGGAGATTGCCAGTATCTGTTATGTTTGTGATCTATCTGAAGTTGGCTGTCATACAGCAGGCTCAATATCATCATGATTACCTCAGCAATTTTGTTGTAAAAGATTGAACTAGGGGATTTAGATGCCTTATTCTTAAAGTGCAAGTGCAAATGAATGAAAAGAACCTGGCAACCAGTGAATAGACATATGAAATAGGTGACTGTTAACCTCAACCATAATAATTATTATGCATATAGATCCTGCCAGTGGGCCAGTTCTTCATCAGTCCCTACTGCATAGTAGACTGATGTGACATGTGTGTCTCATGATCAGTGTGCCAAATCCAGTTTTCTCAGAACTAGCAAATTACACAGAGCCAGTGCCAATGCACATGATTTGGCCCAAAAGCTTATATATATATATATATATATATATATATATATATATGTATATATATATATATATATGTATATAATCATTACCAACAATAGAGAAAAACCATGCAATTATACCATGCCACTCTAGATCTATTGCCCAGATGGGTAATCTGTGATGCAGTGCTGACCTGGCCAAAGACAAAAAGGAAGTGTGTTCAGTGACTCAAGCTCAAACCCTGCCACAGTTCTAGGTTGGAAAGAGTGTGCTATGACTGATATAGGGGACTGGCATTATGCTCACCATGTTTACCTGTCACTATCACCACACTTCATCACTTCTTATGGGGTTCATCCACTTACATAAGAGCATGTAATGAGTCAAGAAGAAGGCCCCAATGTGCCATGTGGGCATCATCATGTTGTTGTGTCCCTTCTTTGTATGATTTTATGAATGGATGCTAAATTGCAGGCAGATGGCTCAAATTCATATTTACACACCATGTTCCTGTGCTTGCACATATTGCTTGATTCCTTGTTTCTGACAAATCTTGACATATTCTGCAGAGTCTCAGTTCACTGTCACCATGCCTCCGAAGAAAGCTCTCCCGTCCGAGAAGAAGGCGCTGATCGGGCGCGTGGGCACCAACCTCAAAGTCGGCATCGTCGGCCTGCCGAACGTCGGCAAGTCGTCCTTCTTCAATGTCCTCACCAAGTCGCAAGCGCAGGCGGAGAACTTCCCCTTCTGCACCATCGACCCGAATGAGAATAAGTATACTTGAATTGACTAGTGCTGTCGTGTTTGGGACCGTTGTTTGTTTTATGCATCGCGACTTGTAAGCCTTTGTCACTTGCGATGATTTGTAACAATTGGTGTAGATGTCATTTGGGTGGGTGAATATCGAAAATGGGCCGGTAAAGAGAGACTGGCCTAATAAAGGCTCGATTGAACTGCACACGCTCGTGCCGAGCTGAGACGTATCCGATTCAAATTGTTCAGATGGCTTTCTTGAATTTTTTCGCGAGAACTCAAATTTGCGATTTGAAGTAGCAATCTTCACAGAATTCTTCCACCAATTAAAAGCTGAAATGTTTGAGCATCGATACGCGTCACAAAACATAGGCGTCCAGTGATTTCCATATGGGGTTATAGATGAGGAGCAGCAGACATCTGAATGGCGAACTTAATGAAAATGATGTAAATTTTTTATGACGGCACACAATAAATCATCGCGATCAAAGCCTGCCCTTTATTTAACGTAGATTTAAGGGTTCCTGTAGACAAGGGCTGGAAAGTGTGATATAAACACCATGCTGGCGTCCTCATAGCAATTTGGAAAGTCATCATTGCGGCGTATTGAGTCTTAGACCTAGCGTGTTTCGCACGCTGGTTCTTTGATCGGCTACATGCGACGGGTTATCACCGGCTGGTTTTTTGATTGGCTAAATGTCGACGCGTTATCACTGGTTAATTTTTTGACTGGCTACATGCCGACGCGTTATCACCGGATAGTTCTTTGATTAGCTTCATGCCGGCGCGTCATCACCGGATTTTCCGTGATTGACTACCAGCCGACGCATTATCACCGGCTGGTTCTTTGATTGGTTACATGCCGACGCGTTGTACTGGCTGGTTCTTTAATTGACGATATGCCGGCGTTATTACGGGCTGAGAAGCTGATTGGTTGCTTGCCAAACGTCGAAAGCCATGCTGATCAAAAGTTTCGAACCACGCTTGTCTGACATGACACTCGACACAATAGCCCCGCGTGTTTAAATACGGGTATTTTTTTCATTTAGCTTCCATGGACAGCACTGTTTCTCGAAAGTGAGGCCTAAACCAAACAACACGTAAACAGATGCCTTAGCCATCGTTTTACCAATGCGTTTGCAAATGTTGGCTGGAGTCATAGCTGAGGAAATCGCTGAAGGTGATTTATAGCGCGTTACTGTTACACGACATTTGATGGACCCTTTGGTTTGTTACGCAGGGGCCCTGTACTCTTTGATGCTTTCTGACCGGTTGCTGAATTATCGCAGTATGATGTGTTGGACAAACGGCGACTTGAACCGTTTGCGAGTGTGCTCCTGACGGACGGACCCGAACCAACCGGCTACCGTACTCAGCGATCTCATCATTCCGGCTCCTCGGACGTGTCTGAGCCGAGGACATGGCTGCGCTCCTGTCCTGCCTGTGCAGAGTGGTGTCCTGCTACGTTGTGACGCTGGTGAACGCGGATGAAGGGGGGGGGGGGGAGGGGCAGGGGCTGATCGGTATTCATTTCATTTATTTCATATGGAGCAGAAAAGTCTTGAGGTCCTGTCTGTTGGGCGTTGCTCGATGTTGTTATCGTCGTCAATTCGTCGACTAACTTATTATGACCTGATCATGAATCTCATTGGTAATGTAAGCACATTCAAGATGCTGGAGGCACCGAGGTACCCAGTTTGTGTGGAAAGTACTCAAAAGCTTTGTGCAAAGCCGTATCATGCAAACTTTTACAAAGCATGTGCATTAATGAGCCGAACAGACCTGCCCCTACTGCCAGCATGAATTGCGAATATGATGGAATGCAGTGGATTTATTACATGCTGTAATGCCTGAATAGGCTCAACATACTGGCAAGATCCTAATGAAATGACAATTGCTTTTGTGCATTCATGCAGCATAGGAAATAGTAGTGTTTCTTATGGTTTGCTGGCTTCGCTACCTTGTTATATTCAAATGCAAGCATAACGATAGAGGCAGATATCAATATATCACATTTTACTGGTAGCCATTAGACTTAAATAATACAAAAACAATGTTATTTCTCAGTAGTGCAAACCTCACACGCACACTCCCCACCACATCATGATCAATGCAAGCCCCGGGCACGCACCGCCAGTGATCACACCCATTTCAAGCACCTGATTCACATAACATGTCAAATAAGTGTGATTCCGCACGTGCGCAGCCCGCGGGACTATCAAATTGCAGATTTTCTCACAATTTCCGCTCAGGTGTTCGGTTATGACACTGCATTTCACAGTGAGCTCCTTCCAAAACAGTTTCAACGAGGGTTCGTGGTAGTTCAACTGAATAGGGGTTACTTGTAAGACACAATTTTATTGCTTAAGATTTCGGTTCGGTTTACAATATGTGTCAGATATTTAGCGAAATATGTATCTAAGATTACTGCAATATTCACCCAATCTTACAATTCCTGGTTAACCCACAAACTCGTGCAAGGTTCTTTGCTCCGGTGCACAATGCGCAACTGAGCTTTCTGTGCGACAAACGTCAGTAGAAGAAGGAAAAAGCCATCATAAGAAAAAGGCAGATTCACCGTCGCGTCTTTTTTCTAACATTCGGCGGGGTGCCACTCTTTTTCGGTGTCGTCCTTTTTTGCAGACGGTGGCGTTTTTTTTTTAAACAGTGGCCCCAGGGAATCGAACCCCGATCTCCTCCTGTCAGGACCAATACTCCAGGCTCTGCTATCGCTGTGTACGATTCATGGCGAAGAGAGAAGCAGTGACACCTGTCATCTGGATTATGTCTGGTAGATCATCGTGCATCCAGACCACAAGTGTAGGCATACAGCGCTCCTTGCTGAAGATGGCAGCCATCCAAGCATGACCTTGGCCGATAGTGTCATGTCACGGTATCCCCCCCCCCCCCCCCGCCCCTCCTGTACAATGTCCGCCGGTGAACAGCGCCCGGCAGCAACTGCACCCGGGCCATCAGCCCTGATCTGTGCTGTGACCGATGTGTGGCTGACCGGCACCGCTGGCACTGCGGGACGGGGTGGCACGTGGTATGCGGACGTCCGGCGCCCCGCCCCCCCCCCCCCCCTCCCCCACTGTCCCCAGCCGCCGGCCCCACCGGCTCGTCGACCGCGGCCGTGTCATTACACCGGACGCGCTACACTTGCGGCGTATGATTTATCCGCGGCCACCGCCGTCATTACCCGCCGGCCAATGACGAGGAAGTCGGCGACACGTACGCATTTGGCCGCGTCTTGCCGGGGCCAGGAGCAGCAATTTGTTGCCGATTGTCTCGGCCGGGCGGGCGCCGCTCGCGTCCGACGGACAGTTGTCGGCCAGCGGCGAGAGTGCGGCGCCGGCCGCGGCCGCGGCGCGTCCCCGTGTGCAGTGTCACCGCCCGTGTCGCCGGCGGTGGCCCGGTGTCGCCGTGTCGCCGCGTGTCCCGAGTCGACGCAGCGGCGCCGCGTGCGGGGAGGCGCGCCGCCGCCTCTCGAAGATCCGCGCCGCTCTCCGCCCCGGCCCGTCGACCGCCGCCCCGGCCCCCGCGGCGCGCCGCTTCCCCGGCGTTCGCCGTCGCCTAGCGTCCGTCGCTGCTGCCAGCTGCCGGGCGGGCCAAAGTCGGCCGTGCCTAGGATCGACTGCGGCCGCTGATCGCTCCTGCGCCGGCCCACGATGTGACTGCGTGACGTCATCATACCGGCTCTGGCTTTACGCTGGTTGTAGGGGTCTCATTGATCTCAATCGTCTTCCTCCAGTCGTCGTGAAGTAAAATAGGTAACCAGTTTCGTTATTCATCAGAAAGGTTGGTGTTTCGTAAGAAGTGAATGACCCATTTGCTATACACGTCGCTGTCATTGTCACTCAGTCACTCAATCACTCAACGGGATCGTATTAAGTCGAAGAACCCGGTAGGTGTTGATAAACACTGCCGGAGTAATCGCTAAGTTGGGACGCTATATGCTGTCCGGGCATACCCTTCAGGGGCATATCCTGTGTCCTGGCTGCTTCTCCCGGTTATCATGTTTAGCTCTGGCTATTTTCTTCGTATCTGCTTTTGTGTATCGCCTTCACGTCCATGCATGCGATGTGGGAAAGTGACATGCATTACCTTTGACATTGAGGTGATGACATATGACCAACGAAAGATGTTAGTTAATGATACTCCTCCGTTTCAATAAGCTTGCAAACATGTAAACCAAGTCTCAAAAAATTCACCGTTATGCTAAGAACAGTTCAGAAGTTGCTCGCAAGAAAAGGTACAGCAAGCGGTCGACGCACTGTCACCTGGTGTCTTGTCTCCCTGGTGGATGTTTACAAGCTCTCCGATCACTACGTAGCTTGCCCCGTCTGATTCGTATGGCGTCTTCTTTTTTGCTGGCTGTTTGCTCTTTCCATTTGAATTCGCGTGAATCGGTGACGTAGGCAGGGGATGCAAATGACAATTGCGCCCCCCCCCCCTTCCGCTTAGGTCCCGAGGCGCCCGAAGGACTCCTCGGGATAAACGATCAAGGACTCGAACGGCTGGTCGGAGGTCGTATTAAGGCGTCCCGGACCGCAGGGCCGTGCCCTCAAATTGCGCTGATTGGGGTTCCTGAGACTATGAGGACTTCTGTGTTGGCCAGGGACCATCAGAACCAAGCAATCGCTTTTTTGTCGGTCTGGGTCTGAGGGCCTATAACCCAAATAGGGACAAAACTGGCGCCCGCGATTTGCATTGGTCGGGGTTCCTGAGCCAGTGACAGGCCCCTGTGTTGGTCAGTGGTCAGAACGCTTACCAGCGGTCCTGAGTTAGCAAGGAATCCCGAATTGGCCAGGGCCACTGTTCGATGAGCGTGAAGAGGGGCTGCAAAGGACCCCCGGGATAGACGATTAATGACCCGATTTGAGGACCGCAGGGCCGGACTCAAACACTAGTTAGAGGGTCCTTTCTGCTAATCAGAGGCCCCTGGGTCGATGAACGCCTCTGTGTCGGTCAGGCACCACCTGTGCCAAACAGTCGGCTCTGTGCCGGTCTGAGCCCGGCCCTGGGACCCAGTTCCCAAGCAGGCACGTCTGAGCCCGGCTCTGGGACCTAGTTCCCAATCAAGCACGTCTGAGCCCGGCTCTGGGACCCAGTTCCCAATCAGGCACGTCTGAGCCCGGCTCTGGGACCCAGTTCCCAAGCAGGCACGTCCGAGCCTGGCTCTGGGACCCAGTTCCCAATCAGGCACGTTTGAACCCGGCTCTGGGACCCAGTTCCCAAGCAGGCACGTTTCAAACACACGGAGACATTGCTACCTGGCAGCCCTTGAGTTGACCGGGCCCTCTCTGTCGGTCAGGGACCACCTGTAATGAACAGTTGGCTCCGTGTCCGTCTGAGCTTGAGGGACCATTTTCCTAAGAGGAACAAGGCTGGGGCTCGCGATTTACTTTGGTCGGGACCCATGAGTCAAAGAACACTATGAGGCGGACGCCGCGCGGCCTGCGGAGACTGCAACGCATTACGACGGGTTTTATTTCTAAGACTTATGAGCGTGCATATTCATAATTATCTTACGTGGCCTTTTCAACACTCAGTTCTGAACGTAGGTTGAACGGCTGCAGACGGACATGAGTTGGCCATGTTCATACAATATTTCGACGCCATCTCGGGCTACAACCTATTCACGGGATTGTCGATATCTCTCTGTAGAACCTAAAAAAACCCGCTGGCTCCTTTAGTTTACTGACCCATTCAAGTGGGCCATTTCCGGTATTTTGGGGATATGAGTTAACCCCGTGTCCCCTCCTTACCAGGACTAGCTGCGCCCCTGTTGTGTGACGGATTGTCAACGGATGGCAGGCCGTTTTTTAAAAACGGTTATTTCGGTGTATTATCGGCTGTTCGCGTTGTTTCGTTGCAATTCGTTTGCGATGTTTATAATATATAACTGCAATATAGATGAATAAACAGGTTACCCCGTATTCGACCCATATCGCAACCCAAGCCATGTCTACAAGGACCACGGCGATGGTAACGGCTGACAGCCAGAATCATAGAAATCAACAATCGTGAGAGGATTTGAATTCGGAGCGTATGCCGCAGCGTTCTACATGGGTGATTCAAAACCACATTTCAGAAGGCTTCGTTCCTTTAACAGGGCACCGCTTGCGGTGCTTCGCCACCCATGACCCGGTGGTGGCAGTGAAGAGCCTTCCATTTGTTTCCCAGGACCTCGTCGTCGGAGGGAAACAAATCAAATGGTAACCAATAGCCGTGGTCTATCTCGCCCGGAGTCGATGATCGTCGGAGGGAAACAAATCAAATGGCATCAAATAGCCGCGGTCTATCTTGCCCGGTGTGGGTGATCGGCGAGGGAAACAAATCAAATGGTAACCAATAGCCGTGGTCTATCTCGCCCGGTGTCGATGATCGTCGGAGGGAAACAAATCAAATGGTATCAAATAGCCGCGGTCTATCTTGCCCGGCATGGGTGATCGGCGAGGGAAACAAATCAAATGGTAACCAATAGCCGCGGTCGATCTCGCCCGGTGTGGGTGATCGGGGAGGGAAACAAATCAAATGGTAGTCAGTAGCCGTGGTCTATCTCGCCCGGTGTGGGTGATCGGGAAGGGAAACAAATCCAATGGTAACCGATAGTCGCGGTCTTCCTCGCCCGGTGTCGGTGATCGGGGAGGGAAACAAATCAGATGGTAACCGATAGCCGCGGTCTTTCTCGCCCGGTGTGGGTGATCGGGGAGGGAAACAAATCAAATGGTAGTAGCCGTGGTCTATCTCGCCCGGTGTGGGTGATCGGGGAGGGAAACAAATCAAATGGTAGTAGCCGTGGTCTATCTTGCCCGGTGTCGGTGATCGGGGAGGGAAACAAATCAGATGGTAAGCAATAGCCGCGGCCTTTCTCGCCCGGTGTCGGTGATCGGACACCTGTCACACCGATGGTCCTGGGATGACGTCAGAGCCTTCTAGCGGCTGGAATGCTGGTCGCAGAGCTTTACAACCGAACCGGCACCAAACGAACGGGCGAGGTTCTCAGAACTCTTCCGTTGTTCAACCCAGGGCAAGGTCAGGTCTCATTTACTGGTGCCGCTGCTTTGCTCTGCTGATTTACATGTTGTATAGTTCACTACTTCGTGATAAACATTTCAGCGGTACCAACCCGCTTATTTTTAATTGACGAACCGAATCAAATTGCTTCGATGCTGAAAGCCCATCTGGTCCAACTTCCTATGTTGACTATGTTGACTAGGCTTGGCCCTCTCCGGTCTGGCTGACACTGGGTAGCAGGCAGTCAATCGAGCCGCAGCGGGCGGGCTGCGGGCGGTGACGCCGCCGGCGCCGCCAGCCGGAACGCCGGCGGCAGCGGTGATGGTGGGAGCCGGCTGTCGGGCGGCGCCCGCCGGCAGCTCGGTCTGCCCCTCACTCGCCGCTCACTGTCCGGCCCGATGACAGGGGGCGGGCACACAGAGGTCGGCACCTCATCCCCTCCCCTCCCCCCGTCATGCGCACCTGACCTGCGCATGTGCCGACCGTCGCTGGGAGGTCATGCTCCGTGCCGTAGAGGATAATATCAGTGTCACTTATGACGTCAATAAGGTAATTTTTTGCTCAAAAGTTTCGACGTGAAGAACATTTTTTTTTAACTTCCGAGCATGATGTGCAGTGCCGTTCGTTCCGTTGGGTTCATTCATTAGTAAAATTTGAATGAAATCAATGCGTTATTCTCTGTCCAGCAAAAATGGCTGCGCCAAAAAGGGTATTTTGCGCTTACTTTCCGCGGGAGTATGGTATTAATTATTATTTTATATTTCAGCGGGTATTTTCCAGTGATATTAATCTGAGAAAGACAAAATGCTGGGCTGAGAACTGGTGTGAATTGATTCGACTTTCGGTTGGTCACATAAAAATTTGGGCGTTTGCCGGATAGACTGTTTTTGAAAGCGTAATGGTTTTCAGTTGGCAGCATATCAAATATCTTGTAAAGTGGGCATGAATAGTACACCCAAGCAGCTTTGTAATTTATGCGTTTTTTGGAGCAATTGTTTGGCGCTTACCGCAAGGCCTTCGAACGTGAAGTAACAATGCGTGCCACATACCTAATGATTATTGTAGAAACTCAGCATGTTTTGTGAGACCAACAGTAAGTTCAACTTAGCAAGAATGCTGTTGTGGAACCTGCGCTGAATAGGCAATTTGAATGAGGTAAATGTTTCATTCAAAGGTAAAACCTGTTCGTTTTTGGCCATTTTGCGTTTTTTTTTTGTCATTTGATTCCCCTTGTCAGGGTGAATTCGGTTACTTGAACCATCAGTTAAAACGTTTGCAAAATGGTATGTAGCCCTTTCATTTAAAGACAAAATTGTGAAGATTTCAACTAATGGTTAATAACTGAATTCAGCTTGAGAAGACGAATCAAATGGCGTAAAAAACGTACAGTTGCGGAAAATGAACATGTGGGTTTTTTTCTTTGGACAGCAGAAATATAGTTCATACATGCATCACGTACTTAAATCTAAAAGAGACTTAGTGTACATTAATTAAAAATTGGTTTCAGACGTTCAGGGCGCGTGCCCGCGTGTAACATATCTAGGGCGCATGTGCCCACGTGTGGCGTATCTAGGGCGCGTGTGCCCGCGTGTGGCGTATCTAGGGCGCATGTGCCCACGTGTGGCGTACCTAGGGCGCGTGTGCCCACGTGTGGCGTATCTAGGGCGCGTATGCCCGCGTGTGGCGTACCTAGGGTGCGTGTGCCCGCTTGTGGCATATCTAGGACGCATGTGCCTGCCTGTGGCGATCACTTATAAGTAAATGTGTCCTAACTCAATCTGTCGAAATACAATTGATTCAATTAGGATAAGTCCAGGCCATTCAATCTGCTATGTCTATATTTAATCAGGTCGTCGGTGGCAAAATGAGTTAGGCTATTACCGGTATTTGGTCTTTGTTGGCCCGGCACAATAGTGCATTTATGGCTTGCTGCAAGCCTTTTGTATTTTCAGTAATTGCATCATCGAGTGGTACTGTACATTATGTTGGAGTGGTATCGATATTTCGTGACAGATTGTAATGAATTGGTTTGGCCTGTTTCGGTCACCATGCACTTGGGTGATGCGCTGACACCATGGGCGTGCGTGCCAGCGGCCTTGGTCGAGGCTGACGTCCGCCGTGACCGCTTGTGTCGTGGTGCACGTGACTGTCGTCCCGGCTTGTGTGCTTTGCTACCTGACCTGGCGTCTGTGACACCTCTGAGACACACCGGTGTCTCAGATGTGTCACACATGGACGTGTCCGGCCTAGTTCTGCAGTTGTGGGCTCGGCGTCTGTAGCGTGGCGTGACGCATGCGACACGGCTCTTGGTGTGTCCAGCCCCGCTTGTGCGGCCAAAAAGTGCGGTGCAACTAACCCGGCCCGGTCTGCCCGCTCTCTGGGTGCGTCTAACCTGGTGCTTCTTTCAGGCACGTCGCGTGCCGGTGCCCGACGCCCGGTACGACTTCCTGGTGGAGCACTACAAGCCGGCCAGGTCAGTCCAGGCCGGGCACGCTCCCCTCGCCCCCCTCCCCTCGTGACCACAGGCCGCCCAGGGTTCCCGGCCTCTCGATAACCAATCTATTCGTTGCTGACCGTGCTCTAATTTTTTGGCTCATATTTGTGCGGATGTTATTACAAAAATGACGCTCTTTGTGGGAGCAGTGCGCCCTATGTTGTTTGCGGTGCAGTTAATGATGCTGGGACGCGAGACCGGCGGCCATCAGGCTATCCGCTGTCGTCACACGGGATCTGCAACATGTGAACAGAAATACGCCGGGCTTGCCCACCGGCCGTCACTGTTTTCGCATTGCGAACGCTGTGGCAGTGCAGTCGATAGGTACAACGCGATTGACAAGCTAGCTGTCGTGTGCGGGATCGCGTCACTGGCGACAGTTTTAGAATGCACTCAAATGGTTATTTTCTAGCAATGACTGTGATGATATGATGAATGTAGTCCATCAAATCAAGCATAAGTTGCATGGCTCATGCCGTTGGTCTATTATCGTAATGTGGTCAGTGTTAAAATGCGCTACGTTGCGAAAAATTAGTTAGCAAATGCTAGCTGGAAAGGTACAAACAGCTAGGCGAACGAAGCACCTGCTTGTTTGTCTGAGTGCTGAATGTCGAAACTGTTGGAGGGGGCGTTCCGGTCAATTCGAGGCACTGATGAAGTTGATGGTCGATCCGCAGGGATATCAGGTAGGTATGCCACTCGCGACCGCTGCTGCTTGTTTCGGTTCTTGTGTTTAAGTTGCGTTTGTCAGCTGGAAGTATGGAAACCGAAAAGTACACACGGAACTTTTTCAACGAATAAGGAAGAAGGGGGGCCGGGACCTTTGGTGTTCCATGGATAACCCTGGTTCGAATCCCGGTTGTTCCATGCGCCTTTGACGCTAAAGTGACCGTCGTAGTGGCTGGTGCTCCTTGGAAAAGTTTGCAATGATATGCGTTACGCTTCTTTAACGAAAAGGAAACGGTGACTATTATTTTAAAACTGCAACGCCAGGCTGATTGCTCGCCAAAAAACTAGTTAGATCAGTCGGTTATTGCAGGTATTTCACGTTAGCATATATGTTAACTAGGCATTGCATTCGGCAACAGCGCTGGCAACAATATGAGCATCTCTGAGAGAGGCTTTAGAGCGACCCGATCGGTGTGGTCCATAGCCCGGGCTTACCTCTGACCCGTTACCGTCTTCATATGGCTCTTCGTCATGTGGCAGAGGCGATTGTTCTTCGGTTTCCAGCTATAATATATCAGGTTATGATGGTGGCGTGGTCTCTAATGCGCTGCTGGTACGGCGAAGTCAATTTCCTGTTGATTTATCGAGCCTCAAATAATATACTTACGTTTCATTAGTCAAGCTGTGTCATACCGATTGTCATTGTTGACATTAAGAATTGTTGTGGCCTAGGCTGGTGTTCACACGCCAGCGTTCGCCTGGTGCCGGTCTTGTTTTTTTGGTTGGTTTGCCCCCACAACTTCCAATATATTGATGCCCGCGTGTTTGCGCGTGTGCTTGAATGCGTGTGTATGCACGTATTGGCAAACATCTCCCGGACTTGGCCTTACCAATTTTGGAGGGAGTACGGGCGAGCCGTCGTCGACGGTGGGGCGCGGAAGTTCGTTCGCAGCGGAAGGAGCTCCGAAAATCCCGCGGTGGGTTCGGGCGCAGCAGAGCATGACGGTGTCAGAACCCGCAGGCCCTCGGTAAGGCTTTTTGGCCATGACAGGGTACGAACGACTAGCAGGTCGCAGTCTCGCGTTTGAGCGTCAATTTTGCGTTAGCCCTTTCGCGAAGGATTACGGAAATCTAGGCAGGGAAATATAACTGCCGAGCTCGGGTCGGGTGGTACGGCGTGTGTGTGACAATGTGTCTTTGTGACAGCGTGTATGTGACGGCGTATATATGTCACGGCGTATATATGTGACGGCGTGTCTATGCGACGGTGTGTCGGTGTTTGTATGACGACGTGTGTTACGTCGGCATGTGTTGCGACGGCCTTTGTTGCGACGGTGTGTGTTGCGACGGTGTGTATTGCAACGGTGTGCGTTGCAACGGTGTGTGTTGCGACGGCATGCCCGTGTGGCAGTGTGTCTGTGTGACAGTGCTGCCTGGTGTATGTGTGTCGACAGCCCGACGTCCATCATGCGCGGCGGGGTTCAAGGGGGGGGGGGGGTGAAGGGGATTGAACAAGCCATGATCGACATAGTCAATAAACGAAAGCAATTTTTCTCAATGGGCCAATGAAGCACGCACGTTCCTATGTACATTGTAAGCTTGCCACAAACTGCACTGCATTGCAACCGTTTTTTCGCAACCGTTTTTGGGATCTTGCGGCATGCTTGCTAATCAGGATGTGCCGATGTTGGGTTCAGATGTGTTTTATTTGTTCGTGTACGTTTTGCGCTGTTTCGTACCTTGCGAGCTGAAATGAAATGAAATGAAATGAAATGTTACGTTCTGCACTTTGGTCCGTTGATTGCAATGCCATTACTGAAGCGTCCGCCCTGCGCGTGTTTGAGGCCACACCGGCAAATGATTGGTGGCAGCTGGCATGCACGGCACCACTTGAGGTATTGAGTGCTGCGATGCGATGGTCTTACACGGCTGCCGGGCCGGGCCCGTCTATAATTGATGACGTTGTCACCATGGCGACGGGCGGCGCCATATTGGCATTACCTGGCCAATCGGAGGTGCCGGCCGTCGGCTGCTCCATCTAATGGCTTTCGATCATGTGAAGCATCGCAGCCGGGCGGGCTGCGCCCGGGCCGGCGGCCAATTTGCGGCGGCGCTTCGTGGCCTGTCGCCGCTCGAAAATGGCCGATAGCGTTCACCGGCCGCTGGTAATGACAGCAATCGGCCCCGTCTGGCATTCGGCCCGATTAAACATGACAGAGTGGACGCTGGAGAGCGCCGCACGCCTGCCAGTCGCAGTGGTACGTGCCCTACTCGTGATAGCGTTATGGGACCAAAAATGCATTTTGAATCGCGGCGGGGTCTCTGGTTCCTGGAGTTCCAAACGCTTTCGGCACGTTGGCGTTTGCGGCACGCTTGCCTGGTCCATGCTGGAGTGCTGCTGACTTTCGTTGCCGTTGAAACAAAGCAAATCGTGAGTTGCGAGTAAAAACACCGACGAGGAGCATTGTCTGGATTACTTTAAGCGGAGCGCTCTAGGCACCTGGTTAAGTGCTTGATAGTGGCGTGCATTACTGCAGTTAGCCTATATTATCTCCACTGGTATCCTTGCATGTTGTTTACACCTGGTTTTCATAAATCGCTTATGAAATCTACCACTGCCGTCTAGGAGGTGACGACACGGCTGACTAAAAGGTGGATTATCGTCGTACATACAGGATGCGTACATGCATAATCGTACATAAGGAGGAGGCGCACGTACATAATCAGATCTCTCTGAACGATGGCACATCCACGGGGACTCCAGCAACAGCGTTGCTTGTGCGATATGGTGAACTCATGATTGCCTTCCCAGTGGAAAACGGCCTTGGACCACTCCTGAAAGGTTCTCAGCGTTTTCTCCCCAACTCTAACGGCCATGAATTTTTCGCTGCCGTCAGGGAGACGCGCAGACCTCCAGAGGGCAGCATGACCCCAGTGGGAGGACATGTCCCCGTCCCCTGTTAGCGGCCCTACTTACTTCACTATCCCAGAAAAATGCCTCGGGTGCGTTCGATCTTCTTTGTTCCTACGAACACAGGATGCTCACGCTGTTAGACCGCCATAAAGGCACCTCGCTTTCGATCGAAACCCTGGCTGATTTCCATGAGCGGTGGAGCAGCCATTCGGCAGCGTCCATGGCGAAGTGCGAAAATGGGGCACCCGATGCAAACTCCCATCGGAGTGAACGTATCCGCCACCTCGGAGTCTTGGCGTCCGATCGGCGTCCGTCGTATAAATGAACACGATTCCGTAGTAAATTCCTGATATATTATGCACTAAATGTAATAATCTGGGTAAGGTACATCATGAGACGCTTACAATTTCCATCGATTCGATGATGGAATGGATCAGGTGCGACACGAGATGCTTGCCGCTTCCCATCGTGGCTTCACAGAGCTATCAAACCGCGATAGGCGGCAAAATCCAGAAATCTGAATTAGGAGAGTCCATTCATCGTTTGTCAGGCATGCGTGATACGTCGCCTGTGTATGTCATAAAGGGAAAGACGGGGTGGCAGTAACGCGGTGGTTAAGCTGCTTGTGTTGGAAACCAGCGATACGGAGTTCGATGTTCTCCGCGGTGTTCAGCCATCTTGCGTGAGTGACAGACAAGCGACGTCACATGGCTTCACTGCTGAGAACGCCGTAGAGCCGCAATGACGGCAACACCAGACGCGTCCGAAGTGGAGATGGAGTCCGTTCACCAGAAGTTGCCCTCTCGACCCACTTCAGTGTGCTGAGCGGTGCCGGTTTACCGTCTTCGT